CGATTAGTCAATATATTAGCAAATATATGCGTACCGTAATCTCCCGTACCGGCCTGAATATAGACACTCCCATTCCGATATGGCTTATTAGTGCACGACATCAATAACACGTGTGTAGTAGCGGATGTGTTCTTCCGTGTAAGGACAAGACGGATGCGCGGCCCTGGGCATGCAGTTAGGCTATTGTAACATGTTTACCTTATTGACTTTCCGATTAAATCTTAATCGACCTTGCGTACCGATTTCTACCCTGCGTTGTGTTTTTAACCCCCCCCCCCGGCAGTTACAAGCCGGGCTTCAAACTCGATCACAGGATTGTGAGGTTAGCTTTGTCGCAGCGGTTAGTGGTGTGCTCACATACACACAAGAAGATGCAAGATACCCAACAGCTACGTTAAGCGCACGGCCACAAAGCCGGCGCGTTTATTTAGCGGCCGGTAAACACTAAAATAGCCAAAACGACAAGAACGAGTACGACAACTTACAGTAAGCCTGTAAGTATTAAGACAGTAAGTAGTAAGGCAGTAACACACGCCTTTCACAAATCAGTCCTCGCTCGACAACCACACCAGTTGCCCACTTTCACGCGTCTCCCTGAGTCACTTCCCTTCACCACACCACGAGTTATTTTTGCCGAAGCGTGCGCGATTTCCTTTCCGCTTCCGAGAAGTACATACCCTGCTTAGGGCAGGGTCGCTAACAAACATGGAAGTAACACGCGACGCACCCTACCCTGGACCTGGCTGGCTCGCCACACTATATATATAGTCCAAAAATTGACCAACACTCGCCACTTCGTCGGTTCGATAGACTCAAGTACTGCGAGAGAGTGCCGACCGAAACTAGGTTCTAACCCGGACACCGCAGTGACAAGATGAAAGGTTTCTATCTACTCGCATTTGCCGTCGTCATTCTTGGTACAAGCGTCTTAGCCAGCAGAGGTGGCGGCGGCGGCGGCGGCGGCGGAGGAAGTAGGGGTAGCAGCGGCGCTAGTTCACAGGGCCGCCAATCTTCTATGTTTCGCGAAGAGATCGGAGGCGACACGAATGTGGCCGACCTGGAGAGAGATGGCAGCCTTTGCTCGCACACGTACGTCGTTGAACGGGTGAGTCGGTGCTCGTTTACTATAGTCAGATACACGTGTGTAGCAATACCGTCTACATCCTATATGTAAATCTGTAAATCTGTTTGTGAAAGCAAATTGGCACAGTTTGAGGAAATGTGTTTGCGTTTAAGGAAATTGCAATTCGATGTATAAATATCAATGTTTCGACAGTATATAGGCCTATATACATATATAAATAAAATAAAAAATTAAGCAATAAATATATATGTAAACACCATGTAAACAAGAATGTGAGTTCAAGTAGAAATGATGAAGTAGATCCAGAACTTGTGTGGTAAACTGTACAACCTTTAATATCTTAGACACATCACATCTCCTTACACACAGACAAAGAACGCGCACACACGCATACGCGCGTGTGCCTCCTTCCGCGACCAGAACCAGCAACAATAATGTCTACAACAAGTAGAGAGCAGACCTCCTCCCCTTGCTCCTGCTCGCAGCGCTCTTAAATCTAACAGAACTTGTTGTTCGACCTCCCTCCTCCTGACGTGCGCCGGGTGCGGGTGATAACAGATTATCCCGCAGCACTCCGGCCCCTCTGTTGTCGTCGTTATTCACTTTATTGCTACTATCATTACCCTCACGCTTGGATCGCGCACACCGAATATCTCATCTATTTCCACCTGGCTTGTCGCCAACGCGACCCGCATGGCCTCATGGCCAAATCAATAGTAATTAAGAAGCTATGGTGAAACCAGCTCCGTTACATATATCTTATATAATTATCAGGGGCGGCGCCAGGGTATTTCCTTAGGGGGGGGGCGAAACTAGAGGCGTGTATAGGATCACGCGAAGGGGGGGTCTGGGTCTGGTCTTTTTTGAAATTAGACCCCTTAGATGCGTTTTCTGCGCGAGCAGGGGGGGTCCGGACCCCCTGGACCCCCCCCCCCTGTACACGCCCCTGCATGTGTGCGTGTTCGTGATGAAATAAATCGTGTTGTTACCCACATCTCACCCGCTTTTAGATCTTCCCTCTTCCCTCTGTTTCTTTCACTCGCACTTTCCATCTCACCCAACACTCTCACTCTCTCTCTCTCTCTCTCTCTCTCTCTCTCTCTCTCTCTCTCTCTCTCTCTCTCTCAGTTAACGCTTC